GCCTGAGGCCGCGAAGGAGCTGGGGGGCCGGGCGGCGGCCGCGCGCCGGGCGGAGATGCGCGCGGTGCTGCTGCGGAGCGTGCTCGCGGCCCTGCTGCTGCGCGGTGAGTACCTCCGGGGCGTCCTGCGGTGGCGGCTGGCTTGGCGCTGCCCGGCGTGCCCACCTCCGGCCCCAAGCCCGGCGCGCTCCGGAAAGCGCACGGCGCACAGCGAGGGCTTTGTGCGGGCGCCGAGCAGCGCCCAGGCCGGGGCTGAGCACGCCGGGACGGGCCGTCCGCCGCGCTGACCCCGGGGCTGGACACCCGACCTCCTGGGGTCCCTTCACGGCTCCCCCTCCCGGGAGCCCCAGCCGGCAGACCTGCAGCTGGAGCGGGAATGAGGATCGGGCCCGGACCCCAGAGTTGGGCCCCGGCCAGGAGAGTTTTCTTTGTAGCCCTGCGGGGGCGGGCGGTCCCAGCCCCCAGGCCCGTGACTTCGCGGTTGGGCCGGACCTGCCTGCTGAGGTGTGCCTAGCGGGACATCCCAGCACTGTAAAAGTCCGGACGGAACACTTGCAGCTCAGTGCAGAGAGAGAAAGGTATAATTATAGGGTTGGACTCCTGGGCCCATCTGCTTAGAGTTACAGAGCAGTTTTAATCTTTGGCTGAAACATGAAACAAATCAGAGCCAATGAGCAGATCAAACAGCAGCTGCCACACACACAGGAAAGGAAAGACAGGAGAGAGATGAAACAGGCGAACTCGTCCCTCTTAAAAGTGGTGATCTCTGTGAAGAAAAAGGATGATCAGGAGACTTTCATATATAAAAAATGACTTGAAAATTGGGCATCAACAGGATTTTTTGCCATAAAATCACTGTTGAGCTGCAGAAGGAGCTGTCAGACCCTGTCCTATGCTGTGTTCCCTCCCTCTTTGAAGGTTGCGATCATACTCCTGCTCCGCTCTGGCTGGGATGCTGAGAGCCAACAGGTATCAAAAGCCCCAGCGTAACCAAGTGTATCTTTGGTGTGGTGTGGCTAAAGATCTCCCTGCTTGCCATCCGGAGTCAGTAGTAGCTGTGTGGGGCTGGGGGAGTTGACCCTGCTGTGCTGGGGTGGGGGCAGTAGACCAGGAGTAACTGGAAGTTGCCCTTCAAGCTTAGTGTGTGAGCGGCAGCATGGTGCCAGGCGGTGTGGGCATGGAGAGAGCAAGATGCACAGGGACGTCTGCAAAGTGTAGTTGGAGGACATGGGTAAACTACACGAGGAGATGCAATTTCAAAATGCATCTGCGCTTGCTAAATTACGAAAACAAAAGTTGTCCAAAGAGCTACTGAGGTCCTGCAGGGAGTTTTGCCTGGAGTTGATACCTGCTGGAGATAAACAGTTTGGAAGAGTTGTTCGTTTTATAAGATGTTCAGGCAGGGTCTAAGGATGTTTTGTCATAATGTTTTGGTCATAATTAGCTAGGATCATATAAAGCAACATAAAAATGGGATATCCCCTCACCCCAATTTTTACAGGATCGAAGTGGTTTTAACCAAAAATGGTTCTAATCAGCCTAACTGAAGAGAATGGTTTGGGGAGCGTGCCTTCTTCACAGCCAGGGTTTTGTGGGCCTTCATAAGTTCTGCAGCAGCAGAGGAAGCTGGATCACTTATTTCAATACAAGTTTTGCTTCTGAAAGACATGGTCTGAAATCTTAGAATGGTTAAAGAGTTTTTCCGGGTAAGTGGGCGTTTGCATTGGCCAGCCTTGGATTCTGTGGTAGTGCCCTCATAGGCAATAGCAGTGATTCTACATGTGCCTGTGACAGACTGACAAATTTAGTTTCCAACACCAGTTAGATTCTTTGCTGCACCAACAAGGCAGGTTAATAAGGTTAAAAAGTGTGCAGTGCCGCCAGGAAGGAACCCCTGTGACACCCAGGCTTTGTTAGGCTTTTTGGCCACTTCTGTTTGAATCATTGCAAGCCAGAACTTATCCCTAAACCCTATTGGTGCGTACATTAGACTCTGGCAAGACTGGAGCCTTGTTGTTTATTTTTGCTCTTTTTAAAAACTGTAAATGTAGTGCGAGACCCAAGTTCAAAATGTGATGGCATTAAAGTATACATGTCACTTTTGCTTTCCTCCTCTTTGGATTCTAAAAGCAATTGCATTTCTTAATCCAAATAAAACCTATTGAGTGTCATGAAGGTATGCAGCTGGAAGATATCCATTATCATTGTTTTCTTTGCTGGGATGAAAAGCCAGGGCCGTTCAGATGCCAGATTCTAAAACTCACTCAGCTGCAGGACACGGCTCGGAGGAGGTGCCCAGGGACGCGGGGACGGCAGCCTCTGCTGGTGGAAGTGTCTGGTGGTACACCGTGGAGCTGACACCCAGCGAGCTGTCTTCTCTCAAGCACTGTTTACTTTTGTAGAACTCATTGACTTTTCGGAGAGGTGGAGATTTTTTCAACACTTCCTTTTCCTTCAAGCTTTTTCTGTCAAAACTTTAAAAAACTGCATAGAGACCAAGTGAATGCTTAACCAACAGAATTCGAGAAAACATAGCAATGGGGCAAAGCAGAAATCTTTTGAGATACCCCTTTACCAAAGACAGCTTTTGTAACCAAGAAAACATTGTCTTCTCTGCACCTTTTTTTCCCTTGTCGTCATAAAAAGAAAATGAAATCTTGAAAAGGAACATGACTCATTTCTACGCAGCAGGGGGCAAGGCCTGAAGCAGATGTTTGTATTCTCGGCTTAACTCCCTGGGCTGGCTTCAGAAGTGTGGCCGAGGGGTTCTCTGGGGGCCTGTGCATTCTTCCCCTAGATGAGAAAAGAACTAAATATAGGTGGGCGATATGACTAATCGTGTTCTGTGGAGGGACCCAACAATGACACCTCGATATAATCAATCAGAGTAAAGCGTACGGCGTTTCAGAGTGGAATTGGGAAATGAGGCATCGGTGGTATGGTTGGCAGGAGGCCAAGGGCGCAAGGCCGGGTCTCAGGAGGCAGCCTTCGCCTGGGCCCAGCAGCAGAGACTGACCTGGGGGAGCCCCTACAGGGTCAGATCGTCTGGTACAGATCGTTGCTTAGAGCTCTCCGATTTGGGGATGGATTATTCCGGAAGGTGGAGGCATAGGACTAAAGGTTAGCCTGGGAGTGTGTTGTCACCCTGAAGTGACCAGGGTGTTGGGCTCTGGGAGTTTTCTGGTTGCATTCACCCAGCTTGCTGTCCACTCAGCGACTCCTGGGTGAGGCTGCCACTTGCCAGGGATCTCTGCCTGCCAGGGCTCGGGCAACTGGGAGGGGCAGTCCTGAGGGTTCCTGAAGAGTATGCAGGGGTGGGTGCGGGGAAACGGGGTGGAGCCTGAGAGCTGGGAGGACAGGGCGCCATCCTGCACCCACGAACACAGACCCACACACCACACACGCATTATGTACATGCAGTATACATGCTATAAGCACACGTCATACACACACCACAAGCATATGTGACACGCTTGCACGCACACTTTAAACACATCATGCACATGCCACACATACGTATGCATCCATATATACCATGCACACACGTACCACAAACACCGCACACACACAAGCATACACCACATACACAACCACAAGTATATACTGCATACATAACTGTCGCATACACACCACATACATATACCACACACATACTTTCAAACCACACACATACATATATGCTACACTCGCGCATGCACGTGTGCGACGGTGCAGACTCAACCTGCAAACTCTTGCTGCCTCAGCTTCAGCCTGTGTCTCTCCTGGGGACCTTGGCATTGGAAGGTGACAGAAAAAGAGCTTGTCCAGAAATTTGAAATGTTGACTTTATTATATCTCTTAAAGGAAAAATACTTCTAGTGTGAAAGTGTACAGACTGGTAAGAGCAGTTCTCTTAAGGTTTTGTTTATTACAGAAAAAAAAAAAAGACTGGGAATAAGAAGCAGAACTTAGAACACATGAGGACCTAAACGGTGTTAGCATCCATTGCCCTCTGCCATATGTATGAGCCTTTATCCCAAAGTGGGGCACTGCATTGGAGTTTATCCACCAGGCACGGCTTCAAACACATACTCACAGCAGTGACTGCTTATTTAATTGCGAGGGACAATTTCATGGCTAAGTAATTACCTGCGTTCAGTCTGATCAGCAGCATTTTACAGCTCACACTAGTTGTGACTTGAGACAGCTTCCCTCACTCTTGGGATGGAGTGGCGTGTCATATAAAGTACAGATACCTGCGGAATGAATGAAAAGAGACTGACTTAGAACCCTCCACTCCCACACAGCCAGCCAGTGTTTGTATGTTGACATCATGTTCGTTTAACCTTTTAAAGTAGGGTTTTTTCAAGTGTTAGAGCACGTATATTGAAACTGTCCTCATCAAAGACTTGTTCAGTCCCAAGTGTGCTTCCATCCCAGCGGATTTGATATTGTATCATGTATAGTGGGTTGGAATTTTTGACCTCCCAATCTAGATAGGCAGGTGAAGAACATGGAATATGTCTGTGTAGATAATTCTGGTTAAAAGGATATTGAAAACTCAGGAACTTGAACCTGTTCGCTCTGTCCAAAGACTTAATTCCTTTTCAACAGGCGAACCACTTCTTTGCACGCTAACTTCTCTGTGACATGTTCTCCCCAAAGAAACTGCCCATTGGCCATACTAATTCACCTGTGCCTGCTATGTTACAGGGAAGTCGTTGGATCGCCTCCTTACTCAGAAGTCTCAACAACCAGACATTGTGATTAACCACTTCCAGTTGTGGGAGCAGCCCCATTAGTGAGGCCTGGCTTCCTCACTCCACTGAGACTTGCGGAGCTGGGAGACACTGTTTGTGGCTACTGTGCCTAGCTTAGCGCCTGGCTGCCGGAGCCTTTCTGGTAGTTTGGATGAATGTCCATGTGGAAGTGTGCTGCTGTCACACTCCGTCTGGAGTTGGTGCTTCACGGGCCTTTCCAGTCCGCTACTGGACACAGCAGTCACAAGGCCATGCATGTGTCCCACATCATGGGAGCCAGGCGCACCCTGGAGGCCACTTGCTGATAGCAACATTGCTTTCCCTTCCCTTTTTCTCCCTGAGAGTAATTGGGGTGCTGGGTACTTGGAGGAGAAACATGGGGCCACCGATATGGTTTCCCTCTGGGACCCTGTGTTGGTCGTGTTGTCCCCAGTGTGGCTGTACGCACCACAGTGACCGCTGGTGAAGTCCCTGGGGACATCGGCCTTTGTTCGTGCAGAGCAGGCCTGGCCCCAGCTCTCTGAGCTTCCTGTGTCAGCGTGCCACCCGATTCGTGGTGCCATCCCGTGGGATGAGTCCTGGCCCCTGGGGCCCTGAGACCTCCAAAACGGAGCTGAGTAAGCTTATTTTTACACACAGCCTGCCCAGCCTGAGGGACTTTGTTACAGCATGGAAGACACACTAATACAAACGGCTACCCCGTTTTCTACCTTGCACAGACATTGTCTCCCTAGAGCAGTGATGGCAAACCTTTGAGAGGCGAGCATCCAAACTGCAGCCCAAACCCACTTACTTACTGCCACGTGCCAGTGCTGCAATTAAACCTGATCACTGAGGTGTTAGCTTAGAAAAAACAACTTGCACATCAACATCTTTTGTCTTAAAAACAAGTAACACACATGCCATGGGTTTGCCACCACTGCTCTAGAGCGAGAGCCTTGAGTCACCTGCCCTGGGTCAACTCTGCCAGCTGTCGAGCTCTCTGGATGCTCCTGCTGCCCCGCCGGCTCTCTGGGCTTTCGTAAGAACAGCAGGCACTGTCCTGCACTGTGTATCTTGGCTTTATTTGCAAAGAGGCTAGTTTTGAAAATCAAGAGAGGATGCAATTGAGTGAGCAGTCATGGTCATTCTCCACAATGTGCTTATAAATTACACTCCCAGGCCTGAAGGGAAAAGTCTGCAAAAATCAGACCAGCAAGAGACAGAGGGGAGTGTTCTTGTGACATTAGAAAAGCAAGTATTGACCACGGAAGAAGAGCGGCAGTCACCCACTTTCTCACCCCCTCACACCTCCACTTGGCTCCTTGGGGAGGAGGAGGAGGAGGAGGAGGCAGTGCTACTTTTGTGTTCCACTGCTGAGATGCACCTAGAGCAAACAGATGCAGACATGGCAGGAGAACTCGCCAGGTCTACTTGAGTGAGAAAAGAAATGTCAGCGCGCTCAGAACTGCTGTGAATGACTCATGGGCGTCTCGGGACTGTTGTTAAGGCCTTGTGTCATCGTTGAAAGGCAAGTGTTTGTCACTGGCAGTAAAGTAATGAAGCATCTTAACCATCGCCCCAGTCTCTGATTCAGTGAAATCCTTTAAGTGGCAGATCCAGTTTCAAACCTAAGCAGCTTAGCCCCAGACTTCACCCACATGCTCTGCACTCTGGCTTCTATTATCTTTCTAGGGAAACAGTCCAGGGTGCACAGGAGTCTACAAATCGAGTTTCAGGACACAGCTTGGCTGTGAGATGTTGCATCTTTACTGAAGGCTTAGGGTCGTATTTCAAGTGGAGTCTTCCTCCGACTCCCAAGGCCTCAGGACTTGAATTAAAATCTTTTTTAAGCCAGCTGCATTTGATTGATCACATCACAGCCTCACTGGACTGGAGGTGTGGTCCGTTCCCCTCCTGCATTCAGTGTTGCTCACCGTCACCATTCAGGAGGTGGTTAGAGGCATGGAGGGCTGGTAGAGGCATGATGAATAGGCCCCTCACCCTTACATGAGCTCAGAGCCAAGGGAGAGACCAGCAGGGTGTCAGACAAATGGGGATTAACAGATTAACAGAAAAAGACTTGTCAGAGGATGCCGTGTAGATGTGTCTGTGCTGGGCTTGGGAGTGGCTCGCCCTCATCTGGCCAGACTTCCCAGCTGACCCTTGCCAAACGGTCCCAGGGCCACATTCTCATGAAGAGCTGATCAGAATGCTGTGTAAGCAGCGGGTCTGGAGAGAAAAAGATGAGTGATCCACACACACTTGCTTCCTCCTGTATCCTGGCAACCTCAACTGGGAAGGGGATGCAGGAGCCCGCTCCAGTGACAGTGCCCTCCCTCGGGGGAGATGGAGGCTTCTGGACAGGAGGCCCTTGCTTCATAGCCATACCTTGTGATGACATCACTGCACAGACGTTTCCCATTTTGAGTGTTTCCTTTGTCCCCGCCCAGACCAGCCTCAGTGATTTGGCTACCTGTGGCTGATGGGAGGTTGGTCGCATTTACTCCAAACCCAACACAGATCTTGTGTCAAAAATCTTTTCCCAGTTTTCGTTTAGTTGAATAATGCCCATAGCAGCTTTTTTCTCTGAGGGTGTAGTAGTCAGCTTTCCAGTCCCCGGGACATACTACCTGACACCCACAGTGTAAAGGAGGGGAGGTTTAATGTGGCATACAGTTTCAGGGGATTCAGTCCATGGTTGGCTGTTTCAAGGCAGGAACATCATGGCAGAAGGGCATGGTAGAGCAAAGCTGCCTAGTTCGTGGTAGCCAGGGAGCAGAGCAGGAGGACAGCACCAGAGGGAAAGGGGCTGGGGACCAGATACAGTACCCAAGGCCACGCCTCCATGACCCACCAGACACACCCAGGATCATGCTTTATTAATCTGTTAGGCATCCATTAATCCAGTCAAGTTGACATATGAAGATTAATGGTCCTGGAGGGAAACCTGAGTTCACACATGGGGGCTTTCGACTTTTTTTTTTTAATAACTTTATTATCAAACACACACACACACACACACACACATACAAAAGCTAAAACCATTCAAAGAAGAACAATGCAAGGGGAAAAAAACTACAATAATATTCAAATACAGTAGAACTCAGCCAAAACAAAACCGAAAAGCACTTAAACATTTTCCCATATAACTTAAAAAAGCATCTCAAGCACCAACAAGACACGGGAGGATGTGATTTGTTTCAGAAAGATCCCCAAAACCAACACTGAACAAATAGTGGTCTGGAAAAAAACTCCAGTTAGCAGACTGCAAGCCAAGCTTCTCCCTAATTAAAATTTCTATACAGTCATATGACACACAATGGAAACACGATCCGAGAAATATGTTATTAGGCGATTTCACCTGTGTGTTTCATTAATTACACTCTCAGTTTCTCACACCAGAGAAACTATTGGGTATTTATACATGTGTGTCCTATTTATTTCACTTAAGAGGATGGCCTCAGTATGCATCCATTTAGCTATAAATGTCTAATTTCTCATTCTTTTTTTTTTTTTTTTTGGTACCAGGGATCGAACTTGGGTCCTTGCACTTGCGCAGCAGGCGGCGAAATAGTTTCTCATTCTTTATGGCTGAGTAGTACTCCATTTTATAAAAAAACCACATCTACTTTATCCAGTTTCTAGTTAATGGCCACTTGGGATGTTTCCAAGCTTTCGCTATTACGGGCTGTTGTGGCTTTCGACTTCTTGTGCCTAGGACTTTATTTTAAATTGGTTCAGTCTTAAGGTTTTGGCCTCATGAGGGCAAATACCTGAATGTCACAGACATCTGGATGATCTGTTGCCATGAGTCACCGTAACTCCGAAGCTGAGTTTTTCTTTTCAAATGATGTCATCAACCGTATTTCTTTATGAAGTTATGCAGTTGTTGGTTAAAACAGATAATTGTCTCCTCATAAGTAACATGCTCATAGGTGCATTTTAATTGGCATGAGTTTGAATAGTTTTGTACACATTTTCTAACTGGTGTCTTTTCTGTTGGCACAGTGGTGAGTACATAATAGGTGCCTCAGAAAGACCCATCTGTGTGTTCGTTCGTGCAGGTGGAATCTTAGAGGGGATGAGCCGGATGTTTGGTCACAGTTCTGTTTGTTTTCATGGCTTTTTTCAGAATGTCAGGCTGGTGACAGTTTGAGGTAAACTTTGGCCAACCTAAACCATTTGAGCTAGAGATAAACTTGTTGCCAGAATTGCTTTACTCCTGGGAAATAAAACACATGCCATATTCTTACAGTTGCTTTCCACTGGAAACTTTCCATGGCTTGTTTCGTTTGTCTCTAGCTTTGTGGCGTGAGCTGTGGGCCATGGAAGACAATTGAGGAAAAGGTCAAGTCATTTTCCTGTGAGAGGAGAGCCCTTGGCTCAGTCTCCTTCGACCGCGGCCGCACGGACGGCAGTATCGTGCCGTTTTCTGTGACTGTGACGCGATACTCAAGGCTGGTTGCTTTGTAGAGAAAAGGATTCTTTAACCCAGGTTTGGAGGCTGGAACCCCGCACGGCACCCTGCCGGCTCTGGTGAAGACGCTTTGGTTGTGCCACATGACTGTGGGTGGGACAGTGATGGGAGCACAGGGGAGAAGGGGCTCGCGGGAAGCCAGAGGCTGGACTGGCCAGGCTGCTCCTGCACACAGCCGCCTTTGAGAAGGAACCAGCCCCGCAAGAGGGCATTCCTCACTTCCTCTGAGGGCAGCCCCACCCCACCACGGCCCTGACGCCATCCTAGGGCTCAGCCCTCCGAGGCCCGCCCTGTCAGCGTCACCTGCTGGAGCCTGGGCCTCCGCGCTGTGGACCTGGGGTCCACCCAGGTCCAGCCTCAGCAGTGCACACAGGGCTCCCCGCCAGGGTCTCCGTGGCTGGCCTCCCTGGTCCTCCCACTCGGTGCCTCAGGTGCACGGCTGCCTTCCTGCTGACTCCTGCCACAGCCTCCCTTCAACCCATCCCTTCCTCCTTGGTGGCCACTCCTCTCCCCTCTGTGACCTGCAGTTTGACAGACACGTGGATTTGCTCGCTGGCTGTGTTGGGAGCAAGCTGGATGGCCTTGGGCAGCCGGGCTCCTTAGCTGCTCATCTCCCAGGACCCTGCTGTCTCACCAGGACACCCCACTCTGGAGGGTGCCTCCCATGCGATGGCCAGGCCATGCCAGCGTCTCTTGACCGCCTGGCTAAGTCCCCTTCTCTTTTGCAGGGCTGGGGGAGGGTTCTGCCCTCCTGCACCCCGACAGCAGGTCCCACCCTCGGTCCTTAGAGAAGAGCGCCTGGCGGGCCTTCAGGGAATCGCAGTGCCACCACATGCTCAGGCACCTCCACAACGGAGCACGGATCACTGTGCAGATGCCGCCCGCCATCGAGGGCCACTGGGTGTCCACGGGGTGAGCATGGCTGGGCGGGAGGGACGAAGACCCCTCTGTGGCTTCTGGGGTGCAGAGAGAATGACTGAGGTGCTGTCTGAATGCTGACAAAGAGCCAGGCTGCTCTTTGAAATTAGGGCTGGGTGAGAAGCAGCTCAGCCCTGTAGAAATCCCACCCGGAGCAGAGATTGTGTTGTGCCACCGTGAATCGAGTGGCAGGAGTGAATAGACCCTTGTTTACTGAACTCCGGGACCACTTGTGTATAAAAAGAAACCATTAGCAAGTGAAATTAAGCGTCTGTGTTTCACATCCCTGAAACATGACTTGCAAGCTTCTTATGGTCTAAATATTCTAGCCATATTCTGGTAATTTAATATACAGCTTCAGGGCTCTGAGAGTGTGCTGAAAGCTGCCTCTCTAGCCAGGGCGAAGTTCTTAGATTCTTTTCCATGCTGTGGAGCTGAGAGTTATCCCAGTTTGAGCTCTGGCTTATCTGTCATTAGAGCTTTTAAAAATAGCCTAGAGGCTGATTTGTGGTGTTTCCCCCCACACCCATTAAATTGTTGAGCATTAACAAGACTAACTTGGGGTCTGATCACTTCTCCCCTAGCACTATTGCTGGGATACAGGTAGCAGCCTCCAGGTACCTTGGGGAGAGATTAGATGTATATGGAGAAAGATGATGAAGACCCAGATTTTTTTTCCCTAAAAATAGCCTCTCATTGGCCGGGGATTTAGCTCAGTGGTTTCACCGCCTGCTGCGCAAGTGCAAGGACCCAAGTTCGATCTCCGGTACCAAAAAAAAAAAGAAAGTAAAAGGCTCTCAGAATAACTTCATGATAAATTATTTGCATAAAAATCTTCATGTGAAGTCATAACTTTAGAATGATGATCTGCTCGGTGCCTGCTCTGTGCGGCTCCTCTCTATTTCGTGCGTAGACCAGAGTGGCTCCTATCTGCAGGGAGTTCACAAATGAATATACAAGGCTGCGTTATGAGGGGTGGAGGGGCGAGACGTGCGAGAATCCGGGAGCCAGCCTTTAGGGTAAGAGTGAGCTCCAGAAAGTCTAGCAGAGAGGGGCCCTGGAGCCAGGAGTCTTTAGAGACTATGGGAAGAACTTCCTGTGGGAGAAGCTAGCAAGTCCAGCTGGATACAGAGTGAGCAGGAGCCAGGCTGCACTGGAGAGCCCCCCAGCACAGTCCTGTGGCCAGCTGGGGCGCAGAGAACCTGGGAGAGCAGCCCTGGAGGAAGAGAACAGTCTCCCTCTCCCTTCTTTTTTAGTTTTAGTTCTTTTCTTTTTTTTTTTTCTGAGACAGTTGCCCCAGGCTGGCGTTGAACTCCTGGGCTCAAGCGATCCTCCTGCCTCAGCCTCCTGAGTAGTTGACACCGTACTACAGATGTGTGCAGCACACTCAGCTCACAGGTTTCCTAACTGAAGAGAGGCAGGAAGTAGCTAGAGCGCTTCGTGTAACGGCAGTGTTGAAATCACTAACTGGGGACCTCTGGCTGCAGCACGGCCCGAGGGTGGGAGGAAAAGTGGTCTGGGAATGACAGCTGCTGGCCGCACACTTGGGGCGCCTGATGGCAGAGCTGTGGGTGGCCCGAGTGGCGGCGCCTGACAAGCACTGTGGCCAGAGCAGAAGCTTAAAAATAAAAAGCAGGGCCTTTCCCACCCAGACCCTGCAGACCACGGCCACTTGTCACCTGAGCCTCTCCTCTCTTGCCACGCCTGTGGCTCCAGCGACCGATGCTCAGGGTGCTGCCTGCCCTGTGTCCCAGGACAGACTGCCCGCCTTGGCTGTCTCACCAGCCTGCTGGCCGCACAGTGGAAATGCTAGCCATTCTCTGAGAAGCCCTTGAGTTTGAGATTTGAGCCCAGCCCAGCACCCAGTCAGGCATGGACAGGAGCAATTAGAAGTCCAGCCCCAGAGAGCTGGGCTGCGGACAGGCCCGGGAGCAGGGTCTGATGGGGCTGCAAACCCCTTGGCCCGTGACTTGGGGGTCCCTTCTCTCCCCTGCTGGGGGCGGAGCTAGGAACACAGGAACTGATGACACCACAGCAGTGGGAGACAGCCCCGAGCCATTCTGCCCTGGAAACCTGGGTCTGAGTGTTTCCAGTATAGGCCCAGCACCCGCCCTATGCAGCCCCAAAGAACCTTTGCTCACTGTCCACCAGCACGAACCTCAGGGACCCCTGTCGCTCTTGTTCCATCAGCTTTGCCTCCACCCAGCCACCTCTTTTTCCAGAGGTAAAACTCAATTTGAATTAATGAGAGAGTAGATTGCTCTTTGCCACGAGGGCACAGTGGCTGTCTCCTGCCTGCCTCTTTGGGGGAGGGGCTAAACATGCACATTCTCCTAGAGTCAGCTCAGAGCTCCTGGAATGGGCTAGCCAGACCCTCTTCCGTGTCCAGAAAAACAGAAGTTCTCAGTGAAGCGGGGCCACCTCTGTGGCTGGGGACAGCACTGTGATCAGGGACAGTCATGGAACTGGCTGCCTGGGTTTGGGTTCGGGTTTGATCCTCACTGCTTGTATGACCCTGGGCATGTTCCTAACCTGTGCCTCAGTTTGCCCTACTGCAGAATGCAGGTTCGAGTCCCACATAGCTCCTAGGAGTTTCGCCCCCTCAACTCTCCCGCGTACACTCCGAGCTCACAGGGGCCTCTCCTCCTGTGTCCTCCAGCTGTGAAGTGCGGTCTGGGCCAGAGTTCATCACGAGGTCCTACCGGTTCTACCCCAACAACACCTTCAAGGCCTACCAGTTCTACTATGGCAGCAACCGCTGCACGGACCCCACCTACACGCTCATCGTCCGGGGCAAGATCCGCCTGCGCCAGGCCTCCTGGATCATCCGAGGGGGCACCGAGGCCGACTACCAGCTGCACGGTGTTCAGGTCATTTGCCACACGGACACGGTGGCCGAGCAGCTCAGCCAGCTGGTGAACCGCACATGTCCTGGCTTTGTGGCCAGGGGCCCCTGGGTGCAGGATACGGCCTATGACCTGTGGCGGGCCGAGGGCGGCTTCGAGTGTACCCAGGCCCTGCGCTTCGCCATGCATGAGCTGCAGCTGCTCCGTGTGGAGAAGCACTACCTGCACCGCCTGGACCACCTCGTGGAGGAGCTGTTCCTTGGTGACATCCACACAGATGCCAGCCAGAGGAGGTTCTACCGGCCGTCCAGCTACCAGCCGCCCCTGCAGAGTGCCCAGGTGAGTGAGCTTGGCCCATGCCCTGGGCCTGTGGTGGAGGTCTGAAGGGACCTGTGAGGGGAGAAGGAAGAGGCCAGGGGGGCTGCCAGGGCTGAGGGGAGGCTCCGCACCTGTGTGCTTGGTGACCGGGACCTCAGGTCCTGGAGAACCGTGCAGCTCTGACATCCTAGGGACGCGGCAGACTCCTGAAAGGGTGTGAAGGGACGTGGTCATCAGGGCCACACTTGGAAGACACACCAGACGCCAGGGGTAGGTAGCGCCTCCCTCGCCGTGGAGGAAGGGGAAGCATGTACCGTGGGGCTGTGGATCCCACAGGGACCCAGCACCTCCCGAGATAGTCGGCAGCAGGATGCCCTTGGGCAGAGGTGGCGGCCAGGGTCCCAGGCTTGAGTCCCCATTGTCCGGCAGTGCGCAGGTTTCACCGCCCACCCTCGAACCCACATCTCTCTGTTGGCCCCGGTTCTTTCCACTCTCTTAAGTGACATGTGAGGTCGAGGGTGGACCTGGACCCCGGACCCAGGAAAAGTCTCAGACCTGATCATACTCTTCACCTGAGTGCTACACTGTAGCACGGCCTTTCCTTCCCCATGTTCCACATGGGGCCAGGGCGGAACTCCCCGTGTCCACCTCAGAAGCTGGCGACCTTGGCCTGGGGGAGCAGACAGACCCAGCCTGGGGGCGAGCACCCCCATACCCCGCCATTGCCTGGCTTGGTGCGGGCTCCCAACACTCACTGCAGAGCCCTGGTTGAGTTTTGTTTGCTGTCTATTCATTCTTTTAAAACTCTGTTTTCTTAGTAGTCCTTTGAGCTCACTCAGCCTGTCCAGATATCTCTGAGAGCTTCCTCTCCAAAGACTGCTCAGTTTACCTTTATTATCTGTTACTGTGAGCGCATGGATGACAATGGCCTTCGTTATAAAGGGGTCAATATGCTGAGGGAGCCCACTTGAGCCTGTTTCCTCGGGGCAGGTCTCGTCCAGCTCAGGGCCGTGTCCTGGGCCCAGTGCTCCCTGCCTGGCTGCCCTGGTGCTGGGAGGATTCTCGCTGCCACCCTGGGGTTCTTCCTAGAGGGGAAGCCAGGTCCCTGTTCTTGCCTTGGATGCGGCAGGTGCACCAAGAGACACAGGTGCCTTTGGCAGGCGGGGGCAGGCTCTGGTGCCCAGTGCCTGTGCCCCAGCCTGGGTCCCCGATGTCCTCCTCAAGTGGCAGGTGAGGGAAGAAGCCTGAAGTGCTGCCCAGCATCACAGGAGAACCTACCTAGGCAAGGATGTGGTCCTGGCTCTGGCCCTGGGTCTCTGGGGGAATGGATGAGTCGTGCGTGGGCTTCCAGATGCAATCTGGGGACTTTGCAACCCAGAGCAGCATCCAGAGCCAGCACTGAGCCTCAGCTGGGCAGCGCCTCTTGGAATCACGCTGGCGGTGGTGGGAGGGGACCCGATGTCATAGCCTCCTGTGGCAGCCCCGCACGTAGTCTGGCACCTTCCCCGGGCCTTGGGGTTGGAGGTGTGGCTGTCGTGAGTAAAAGGAGTCACAAGCTACCCAGTAACTTCTCCTTAGCCAAGAGCCCCTGCCACCCATCACCCGCAGCCTCCTGGAGACCAGACCTGCTGGCAGGCTGCGTGCCCTCCCGTGTCCCTCGGGCGGAGTCCCTGGTGACAGCGCAGCAGTCAAGGTGAGCCTGGCCCCACCTGGTCTTCCTGTGCCCCGCCCAGGGTCAGGTGCATCTCCTGGGGCCATGGAGCCCTTCAGCACTGAAGCAAACAAGGGTTAATTAATTCGGACCACCTTTTCCTGCCAGCCCCTGCACCCCAGTGCACTGCTGCTTCTCCAGCCCCCGGCTCTCTGATGCCGCGCAGGTCACAGTGGCGCTGCTGAGCCGGCGCCCCACGCTGTCCATCTGGGATGGGGACCCTCCCGGTGGCCAGTTCCTCACTCCTCCGCCCATCTGTTGGGAGTGCCAGGCATGCACGGCTCCTGGAGCAAAGTGTCTTGAAAGCATGTCTGAACCCTGGGCCTGGGAATTGAGGATGGCAGTCATGAGGAGGACCTTTAAATTAGTATAGGAGCAAAAAATGTGAGGCTATTTTGTTCTCAGTACTGGGGATCAAACCCAGGGCTTCGAGCCCCCTGGGCAAGTGCTCTACCCCACAGTTGCACCCCACCCCAAGCCGTCTGTCTGTGTGTCTATCCTTTAATTTCCTTTTACCATCATCTGCATAAATTGGCCAGCATATGGGCTTTGGAAAGGGAGCCAGTCCTGGGATCCAGTTCTGCTGTCATTAGCTGTGTCACTGGTAGCTTCTTAACCTCAAGGAGCCTTCGTGTGTTCTTCCTGTGACAGGGTAGAAATGCAAGGAGGACCATGGAATGGCATCGGGCAACCCGGCTGCCCTGGCTGGAGTGCGAAGCCCTGCCGGGCAGAGGGTGCCGTGCCAGGGGCCTGGGAACATGGGGGTCAGAGTGCCGTAGGAGGCCAAGCTGTGGAACGTTTCCTCCCACTCGCCCTCCCTGCTCGTGTAAGGCAGTTGTGGGAACATGTACCGGACTCTTAGGAAACCCCAGGCCCGAAGCCCTGATTCCGGAAACAAGGAACCTGGGTGCTCCCAGGGTCACACCCAATAAAGAGCAGGTGAACCCCGGTTGAATAGCACCAGTGCCTGGTCTCGCGTGTGTGACCCAATGCGAAGGGAGAAGGGGAAGGGGCCTGTGTGTCTGAAGGGCTCGGCTTCTCGTGGTCCCTCTGAGGGGGCTGCGGCAGGCCCAAAGCATCACCCTCGTACCTTCCAAGGTCTGTCACATGATTTCACAGCACCTAAACCATGTCACCACATAACATGAAAGTTTAGCCGAAGAACAGCCACTGCACACAGGGCCTGGCCTCCGCACTTGGCGCCCCTGGCTGCAGGCAGAGCAGCTGGGCCCTGCGGGGGCACGTGGCCCCGAGCTGAGAGGGCCACTCTTCTCCTGTTGGCCCTCACCGTGTACCTCCTGGCCCGCGCTGTGCTGAGGAGTCCTCAGGAAGCTCTAGGTTCTTCCCCGGGACAGCTCTGGGGAGGGCACGTGGACTTGCTGTGGAGTCTTCACAGACTGGCATGTGCCCACAGGCCCTGCGCACCAGGTCTCCCGCACTGGCTGTGGCCCGGACACAGGGTGGGAAGCAGCGCAGAGAACATCTCCAGAGATCGCAGGGCTGCCCGGAGGGCGGGGCCTCCTCCTCTGAACTCTGCGCCTCCCTAATTGCTGGTCCACAGAGACCTGGCTGAAAATTAGTTTAAATGCTAAATTGAGTTTGAAACCACTAGCCTCGGCCCCTGTGGAAACAGGATACCATGTAAAAATAGAAACTTCAGGTCAGCGTGTTTTTCTAAGCTTTATGCTGCTTTGCCATGAGGTTCCAAGTCCTTTGGCAAACAAATTATGTTTGCAGAGAATCAGGTATGGGGGAGTTCTTTCAGAGGAAATTGGCCACTTCCATTAACAGAAATCAAGGCAGCTGAAAGAAGATGTTTTTCCCAAGTGGAACTTCACCTCAGGCAGCCGCAAGCTCTGCCTGGAATCGCCAGAGCCCTGCGGTGGAAGGGTGAGGGGTCACGTTCATTCTTCATGGTGGCAGAATCGAATGGTAATGACAGCAAATGATCTCCATGATCTTCAGATGACTAAAGCCTCAGGATCCAACCTACAAGCAAATGGAATTGGTATTCCTCCAAAATCCTGCTCTGATTCAGCCGAAGGGTTGTAAATGAAAGGGGTTGTCTGGAAGCCAGCCAGCGTTCCCCAGGATGCACATCCTAAATCCACTGTCCCAGCAAACCTGCAGCTCCCCAGGACCCAGCCCTGCAGAGATGGGGCACTCCCGTGCACCGGAAGCTGCAGCTCTGGTCCTGCTAGGTCATCCCTCCGTGTCCACAGGATGATGCTAGGGCCTGCAGGAACCAAAGTCTGTGGGTGCTCACGTCCTTTCTGTAAAACTGCAGTTTGTGTGGGACCTGCACACGTCCTCCCATGTACTCGAAGCCATGCTGGGTGACAGCACACCCGATGCAACGCCTCCGCCACGTGGAGGATTGTCCTGCTGTACAGGGTAGGGAATAATGACCAGGAGCAGTGTCTGCACGTGTTCAGCTCGGACATGGCTTTTTCCCCAATATTTTTGATCCTCAATTGGTTAAATCTTCAGATGCAAAACACACGGATACAGATGGCTGAGTGTACATAAAAAATATGAGGGAGCTGAGGACTTCTCGATATCAGTGACATCAGAAGGACTTTGGATTGGGTGGCTCTGCTGCAAGGGACAGGCTGTGTGGCAGGTCCGAATGTGTCCTTGGTCAGCGAGGTGGGGAGTGAGCCCAGTGCTTATCCTTCCTCTTCCTGCAGAGGTGGTGGGTGATGGAAGAGATGGTAGAGTGGAAGGCCAAAGAGACCCAGTGTCCAGGTGTCCACCGAGACAGTCAGTGCTGCACCTTGTGTGAAAGGAGAGCTGGCTGCAGGGTCAGTGCCTGGCTCTGACTCTAAAAGTGTTGCTCTCGTGGATGTCTGTGGGCCTAGGCTGGGGAGGGGTCCCACACCTGCTGTGTGCACCATGCTGGCAGGCACTTTTGTTGCAGATCCAGATCCAGACCTGCGTTTTCCCCTGCAGGTTGCTTGATTTAAGGAAGTAGCAGACACACAAGTAAGATGTGTTGACAGGAATGATGCAAGTGGTAAACATTTCATCCCTTAAAAGGCAAGATTGGGCGGGAGGGGCAGAAGGAAACCCCACCAGGTGGGAACCTGGCCATCTGGAAAGCAGCCTCCCTTCCCTATTGCAAGCAGCAGGGCAGAAAGAAGGGTCCTTGGATTCACTGCAGATCTAATTTAATTTTTAAAATTAGCTTCAGTTTAAATGGAAGACAATTTCTAGGAGTTGAAGAAGCAGTCAAGTGAAAATAAATGCAAAATTCATGCCGACAACAATTGTAAAGCTTTCTGCAGAAGAAGGTGCTGCGAGGTCCTTC